GAGATTTTTTTATTGATAAAGGTAGATAAACTTATGAGTAATCTTGTATTACATTTTCAAATGTTAGATTTAAAAATAAAATTTTTATGTATTTCTAACTCAAAAATAATTGCGTAATAATTTTTACGTATTTTGTAAAAATTGAACTTTAAATGCTTTTAAGGAAAAATTGTGACTGTATATTTAATATTTTTCAAATGTCATTGTAACAGTACATGAAAAGCCTTGTATTAAATTTCCAAGCTTTTTTACCCAACATTTAAAATTCTATTGGCAATCATAGAAAAAAAACTAAAAAAACTGAAAATTCATTATATCCGTAAACAACTCAAAACAATTCAAAATATTTTAATCGTGTGAATTTTATCGCATATAGAAATTAATGCTAATATAAACATTCAGTGAAAATTGCATGTATCTATGGTTATTTTTTATAGAGTTACACCATAAACCAAAATCGATTTTCAAAATTCCCATTTTTCCTTAGTTTTTATTTAGTTATTCTAGGCGCTTTTAAAACTATTGGAATTTTAAATTTTGACCTTCTGAATGAACCAAATATATTCACTTTCCCATCAATCGAGATAGGTACTGTTGAAAAAAAATCTAACTACTTTTAAGATTTAACTCATCAATGGATTTTTCATCCGGTATAATTTTTATAATTCGGTAACTTTATACCGATTATACTATTATACCAATAAGGTTAACCTATTTATAATAGACATTAGACAGCTTGGCTATAGTTAGACTATAATCAATGATTAAATATTATTATTGTATATTTAATCAATGCTATAATAGTATAATGCTATATAAGTATGAACTATGGGATGAGTATAGTACTGTATATGAGTTGTATTACCCGTATTAATGCATATTATTGGTACAAATGTACAGTGGTATCTTTAAATTTGATAGTAAGACATTACTAACAGGGTCGGAGTGGCCGGTCTGGAAATGGGTAATTTTCCAGATGGCCTGGACCATACTATGGCCTGGTGGCCTGGCCATTTTGTTAGATTTTTTTTTTTTTAATTTAATTTAATTTACAAAATATTAGATAATGCTAAATGCGTCAAAAATGTGTTTCTATTAAATTATTGTATTACAAATATTATTAATGCAATAATAATAGTACATTGTAGTAGCCTCGTACTATCGTATACTCTTATGAGAAAGCTTTAGATAAAAAATTACAAAATATTTGGTACAAAATATAGAAATAAAATCAAATAAAATCAATATAATATTGATGTATATAGGTCGGTTATTTTTATAATAAAACACCCAGATAGTGTGTGGTCTCGGTTCAATCCAATAGAACTAATTAATAATTAACTACTAAGAAATTATAAATTACTGATTCGACGCATTTCCGCCTATTGAAACCTGCAAGTTGTTTATCTGTACCCAGTAGGGCTGTTGAGTGGCGACGAATATAGCAATGCCAAATAGCTAATAATAATTAATAATACCATTGATTACAAATAGGTACTACTAATGTCTAATACTAGTATTTTGTATTTATAATAATCAATGATAATACATATTAATTTTGTATTATTGGTCACTACTCCCTTATTTTGGTCATTGTTATTTTTATAAATAATATCTGTAATAAACGCAAACAAATTAGTCATTAGTGTTTGCAGTGGCGTATATACAAATTATTTTCAGTATGGGCCAATTTTGGCAATTTATCACTAGTCAAGCACAACACGACTAACATACCCATAACTTAACATATTTTAGGGAGCTGGGTGGTTACAATATTATGACATAATATATAATACAAATAAATTAATAATTGCGCAATTTAATTTCATAATTATTATGTAAAATTAATTTTTAGTTATTTTTTAAAAAATATTGACAATTTCATATATATATATTTTAATGTTATCTTACTGTGAATTTAACATTCAAAGTCATCAAAACAAGTCCTGACACATCATTCCATTGTTGATTCCTCAAAAACGATTTTAATCAACCGGCTAAATTAATCATGGTGAAAAACTGTAAACAGTGTGGATATACATGAAATGCTTTAATTGAACCTAAAACCTTAAATTTCAGTATGGGCTCTAGCCTAGGAGGCCTCCCCCCTATATACGCCGCTGAGTGTTTGATATTTGTGCACTGGTCACTGATGTTGAGCGTGCCGACGGTGTCGTTTATGGTGTATCCACATTCCACGTACCACGTTTTTCCTTTTATAATTCCAGAGTTGTTGTTAACATGTTAATTTGTGTGCTCTCTAATGACAATTTAAGTTTTTAATTATTGATCGTACGATATTATGTTTTATTTATGAATAAAAAACGGAAAGGAGGGGCAAATAGAGATCGTGAAAAAAACAAGAAGTTAGGTACTTGCATAATGTGCCGACAAATGTAAAAATGTAAAAATGTAAATAGAAAAACCAAATTCGAAAGTAGCGAGAAAAAAAATTTTGTAGAATGGCCTGGATACATTTTAAACTCCCGGCCTGGATTTGGTTCCCACTCCCCGCCCCTGATTACTAATGAAGTGTAGCAAACTAGATTATTCTGAATGTAAAACTTGCAATGTTATGTTGTAAAACGAATATTATGTTAGTATTTACTATTTACTATTTAGTAACTATAGTAGGTAGCTGGTTGGTACCTATAAAGTCGGAGACAATACGGGTACGAAGACGTCTTCACATTTAATATGGTTATTTGATAAAGAAAAATGTATTATTCGTCGTCAAAATAAAATATGAAGGCTAATTATACAATAGACTTTTATACAATTTAAAATGCCAATTTATAAATTATTTATTTTTTGAGAAGTACAAAAAAATAAAAATGTAGGTAAGTGGGCACCGCTTGGATATATATACATGTAGGTGTAGAATGATGTGCAGTGATGTATTTTTAGGAAGGGTCCCGGGTCTCGACCTACCCCCCCTCAGAATGGAATAATATAATTATTAATTCATAACTCGTATGTATTTTTATAATACACTTACTTATTTTTTAGAACCTCCCCCCCGAAAAAAAATTGGAAATACGCTGCTGACGATGTGATTAAGTTAAATTTGAATAAAGTTTGACAAGTAGACAGTAGTCGCTTAGTGCTTACTACGCCTATACCAGGTCCGATATCCAAACTCGAGGTCCTAAAGATAAAAGTTATTAATTATTATGAACATCGAACGCAAATATTATATCTTATTGTACGGGAAAGTGGGGCAGATTTGAATGCGGGGTAGATTTGAATTTGTCTAATATAATTTGTTACAAATTATTTACGTTAGTAAGAATAATAATCTAAGTTGGTGATAATATTTTGTACACCATATTTGATTAGCAGGCATTTTTGAACAATTTTACGATGAGGAAAAATGTAAGTGATTTTCCAAATTAAAAAAAAAAAAAATACCTAGTGGTTTTTGTAAGAACATTTTGGAAACTAAAATCCAAAATCGTAAGGTTAGAATTTAATATACCTATTCAAAATATTGTTGCCTAATGCCTTGTAATATATTTAATGTACCTACGTACATGTGTGCCGTGTGGCTATTATTACAATTTGTATTACGATTATTATTTATTATTTTGTCATGGGGTAGATTTGAATCTTCATTAATGGGGTAGATAATAGGGTGTAATATAGGTTCCTTCTTTTTGAAATACCTATCTTGTGGCTGGAATAGACTAGTTTAATGGATTTATACCACAACATGTGGGTTTATCTATAAGAAAACCAAAAAAAAACTAGCTTTTCACGCTAAAAAAAGTTGAAAAGAAAAATCTAAACCTAATTGTAAAAATGTTTTATTTTTATTATCAAAATAAATAAAAAGTTTAATTTGATTTAATATTTATTTATGTTCAACATTCAAATGTGGCCCTTTAAATTTTAATTGTATAAGACATTAAGACACATATTCAAATCCTATAGGTATATATAGGTAGGTACTATATAAGATATAAATCAGTGGTCGCCAACCTTTTAGACCTCGCGGACGGACCACTAAATCCATAACTCTAAATTCTAAGGATCACTCATGTCTTAAATGAATGTTATAAAAAAAATAAAATTAACGCATATTTTATAAAATATCAATAAAGGGTTTTATTATTAATAACAAAATTATTTAAGTTAGTTTAATTATTATTGATTACATACAGCGACTTTATAAACTACTTTTGTATATTACGATTATAAACTCACAACATTACAAATAAATATAATGTTCAAATTTGTCTGTGGACCACCAGTTAGCGACCGCTGATATAAATGATATAGGTAATATACCAATTACCTATGTATCGTATAATTTATTTTTTTTGATGCTCACAATATATTTTAAAATACAAAATATGTACTCATGTATTTTAATTTATTACATAATAATATAAATATTATAATACAGAAAAAGGTCTACAAATTTAAAAAATCGTGAACACTTCATAAGCAAAAGCTATTTGCCACCCCCAAACATTTGCAGCTTGGGGCATTTTCCACTTTCACCCTCCTCTAAATGCGCCACCGCTTATATATATATATTTGGCGAACTCTAATTCAAGTGTCTACCGTTAGAAAATCTACAATATATTATCTTATAATATTTTATTATGTAATAAATCTTAGTAATACATTTGTGTCTAACATAATGGAGCTTAAAATCTAATCAATGATGAAATTCATTACTATAACTTGTAAGATAGTACCTATATAAGATTAAATTTAATTAATACTTGAGAACCCCTATAAAATGAACTGATTGAATTTGCAGTATTTTGAAAATACAATTATTTTTGGAGTGGGAGATACAACATATTTCTCTATATTATAATGTAGACAAGACGTAAGCAGTCCAGTTGCAACAGATTTTGTTTTGAGAGTACAGATATTCTCAGCAAGACCTAGTGCAATTTAATTTATTAGTGTTTTCACCTTTGTAACGGTTTTCGATTTTTTTTCATATTTACTCTACTAAGTTGTAAATCTCAACATCATTTAGTATGGCAAATCTGGCAGGTGAGACTATTCAAATATTAACTAGTACATAATATATTAATATATTTGAACATTTTAAATGACCCTGAAATAAAATGTTATGCAACATAATTCTAATTAGTAGTTACTTAGTAGCATAAGCGAAAATAGGAGGTTACCTATATGATGGCTAAGCCCCCTAAAGTCTTACAAACTTCATATTCATAGACTATTCATAAGTTATTTTTAGTGGAATTTTAAAAGAAATAGAGAGTAAATCCACAAACGTTTTTTTTATGAGTGTTACAAGTTAGAATACTTTGCCAGAGATTGTAAGAATCGTGGTTAAATTTCTTTGAAAAAAGGTTTCTATTGTTCGTAAATTGTGCATAAATGAGTTGCACCTTACCAGTTAACACCCCCATAAAGAAATCCTAAATTCAATTCAAATTTAACGCTTTACATTATAGTGGCTCACTCGACATTTCCTATACAGCAGAGAGGGCACACACTTTCCTGCTTTTTATTAATTTAATTTGTTTTTGTATGAATTATTTTAATTTATTTAACTATAACTTTCTACAGTTTTTAAAAATAACACTTTGTTTGATTAATTTTAGATGATGTAAATGTCATCCAGGACCAGGACCAACTTGCACCTGCTTTATCATACTCAATTTGTGGCATTCGTGGACAATCAACGGTATATATTGATGAAATAGGGTTCCATTACTACCAGCATTCGATCAGGGGAGAAATTCGGTAAGTAGTTCAAAGACATACATTTCTTCTCATCTATAATTATTTAATAGTAATATATTTAAAACATTTTAAATAAAACTAAATTTTATATAAATATTCAAATTAACATACCTATTTTTATTCTGAATTTAGTTATTTGACATGTGCAAATCGACGATATAGTTGTCCTGTGTCAGCAAACATGCAAATTAGAGTTGGTTCTCCAATAAATATTTCTGCTAATTATCCACACCATAATCATGAACCTGCACCACGGTATGCAGTATCTCACCGTAATATGATTAATAGACTCCGTGAAAGAGCAATTTCAGAAAATACTGTTGCTCACAGAATTGTAGATGAGGAGATACTACTGTAAGATTTAAAAAAAATATATACACTGATATATATATTATACATTTATGTTGTTAATTTATCTTATGAATATTTACTTAAATATGTAGACATCCTGAAGCAGAAATGGATTTAGGAAGACCGGCGGCTGTAAGGCTGATTGCTCGAGCTAGGCGTAGAGTAGGCCCACCTATTCCTGAAACTCTAATGGCTTGGATGGAGGTGTTAAGGTCAGAAGAATGGGGTCCAAGGCTGAACAATATTGATTTTAATGGATCATTGGTTCCATTTTTCCAAGGCCCATTAGAAATATTAAATAGTGACAACACAGTACAATTTGTAGGTATTGTATTTGCTAATGTTAGTTTTTTGAGCGAGATTAGTGCACATTTCCGTAGTGTAAATACTATATGTATGGATGGCACCTTCCAAATACGACCTAGACAACCAGCCGACATAGATCAAATATTCACTATTCAAATAATTGTCAATAATGTGGTTAGTTCTATATGTCATATAAGTACACATACATTTTATGTCTTATCTAAAGTTTATTCATTTTTAAGGCTGTTCCAATTGTGCATGCATTGTTATTAAATCGCCGGACGGAAACCTACTGTAGATTGTTGCAGTTTTTGAGAGATGATCTCCAACTTAATATCCAATATAATAATTTGCAAGTAATTACCGACTTTGAACAGGGACTAAGAAATGCAATAACTAGAGTGCTACCAGAGGCAAATAATTCTGGATGCTTTTTTCATTTCATACAAGTACTTGAACAATTAACAATTATGTTTTACAAGGTTGATTAAAATCTTTAAAAATGTATTTATTTTTTAGGCCATAATTCGATTTGTTCGATCACACCAACTTCAACAAATATGTACAACAAATGAAAATGCGAGGCGTATTTTGCGAATGGTATAAAGTATATTAGAATTTAATTAATTGAAACATAATATGAAATATATAAAATATAAATTTGTAGATTAGGATATAACATATTTTAGAATATATTATTTATCTTTTTTTAATTTTACAAGTTGTAAATTACAACAAAATAATGATACATAAGAATCACAGTTTCTAGTTTTATTACAAAGTTAATTAAATCCAAGCTTTTAGACAAGTGGAGGTGAGAGTTCAACATTACCAAACATTAATAATTAATATACACAATTATAGACTATAGCATGCAAAAAGAATTTAGTCATTAGTTCAAATTAAAAGAAACTTTTTATTATAAAAAAATATTATACTACAGAAGATAGTTAGATGGAAATTGAGTAAAGAACATTTTAATATTTTTCACAACAATAACAAGATGAAAATGTAATATTATCTATACTGTTGTACTTAATTATATTTTAAACATACATATTATTTACTTTAGTTGATGGCATTAGCTCACTTGCCAGGAAATGAAATTATGTTTCATGGGAATTTGTATTCAATACAATTAGGATTTCGATTTATACAAGATTTAGGTAAGTTAACTAAGTACATTAATGGTGTTAAATAATGTATAATTACTTTTCTATTTCAGTCGCAGACTATGGTCTTGAAATTGAACTCAGAACACTGATGAACTATTTTGAACGCTTTTGGATGGACACAGTAACTCCACAGAGGTTTACTGTATGCAGGCTTCAACATAGAACAAACAACTTTATTGAATCATACCATGCATCACTATTACGGCTGATGGGACAACGTCCGCAACTGTACAGATTTTATGGTAATTTTTTTTTTTTATCAAATCAATCACTGAAATTAGATCGAGAATTAGATAGTTAGAAGAAGTAATACTCTGATTTGGTAAATATGTTTATAGATCATTTAAGAACAGTGGAGACTAGAGCAAGAAATGATTTCAATAGAGCGATAAATGGACAAAGAGTATGAATAATTGTTATTCCTTGTTGATAAATATATTCAAGTATTTTATGATAATTGTCATTTATAATATTACATAGGTAGCTCATACAAAGAACAACATTTTTAAGTACAGTGTAAAAGTGTTTCTGTATTAAATACGAGTATCTATATTTTTTATATCACATTGAGTAGGTAATAGGTATTAAGTAAAAACTATTCATTGATCAACTACATGATCTACTGTGTTTAACACATAATATGATATAATATGTATACAAAATACAAATAGTTACTTAAATGTGTTTCAAATAATTCAAAAAAGTAATTATAGTTAGTTATCAGGAATACTTGAATGAATTATATTAGAAATATATTTTTTCAATACTTTATAATATGATCATAATAAACTAATAATTTTTAAATTGTTAAGGTAAGACAATCAGCTTATAGAATTTATCCACACAATGATATGGCTATTCGGAATGCATGGGTTAATGTGGAGAATGGTAGATATACACTGGAAGAATTCTTACGAAATGTTTCCTACACTCCAGAACAAATAATCAGGAATGAGTTGGGAGAACCAAATTTTGAGCCACGTACGTCTTTTTTAAATATAATAAATACTATAAATATTCCAAGTGTTAATAGTTATGAAAAAAACAATCTTACTATAACTTTGTATGTAGGACCTATAGTGCAGGCTGCTAATATTCAACTGCAACCACGACCGCCACAACTTCATCGACCATTAGTATTGGGCCCTCTACGTCAGCCTCCTCCATTGATTGCTAACCAACCTATTGTACTTCCGCTGCCAGTTCAACAACATCATTTTGGTCCACCATTGCCTGAACTTCGTCCACCATCGCCTGAACTTCGTCCACCATCACCTGCACTTCGCCCACAGTCGCCTCAACTTGGACCACCATCACCTGCACTTCGCCCACAGTCGCCTCAACTTGGACCACCATCACCTGAACTTCGGCCACCATCACCTGCACTTCGCCCACAGTCGCCTCAACTTAGACCACCATCGCCTGCACTTCATCTACTGCCACCAGTTCAAAGGAGGGAAATACATATTCGTGGTAGAGGTAGAAGAAATGGTAGACCTTATCATTTAGGTAAAAGAAAAATATTTTAATACTAAATTAAAATATGTAAATAATAACTGAATATATTACATATAGGTAATTCTTGTAAAATGAATTATATAAAAATAAAAATGTATAAATAGGAGAAAATAGGGGACGAGGACAAATTCCCCGTGGAGCTGCAGCAGAAGCTTGGGCTTGGTTTTATCGTGAGGATATAAACAATGGTAATATCAAAATTAAGATTAAAAGTTTAGAACAAAATATTACAGTTCTAATATAAATATTTTATATTACTTTCAGAACAAGAGCCAGACCGAGACCAAGAAGTCAATCCAAGTAAGATAAAACAAATTAACAACAGTAATGTAAGAGTACACATATGATCACATGATTATGTAGTGATTTATCTATTATCTAATAAATTAGTTAAAAATAAAAATATTTAGGTAAAACTTTAAAATACAATTTAGATTTATAGATTCTGGGCAGAGCGTACACAACCGGTGAACATAATTTATCAGAAAATTTCCAATTTCTATTTCTAATTATATAAATATGGTATATTAAATCCTGGTAGATTAAACCTCTTAAAAATGATTGTACAACATCATGATATTAATTTACTCCATTCAACATCGGTTAAAATTACAGTAACATATAATTAAAAACAATAGGTAATGTTAATTAATAGGCACAATGAAGAGAGTTGACGATGGGGGAAGCTAAGGTATCTTAAATTGTGTTTCAAATAATACCACAGACATCATATAGTCTGTGATAATATCTCCTACTAAGTAATAACTATATATGTGACCATGCACAATTGACAATATACAAACATATAACCTGTATTTTTAGATGCTTAAGTAAAAACTGTGTTCACAACAACCTACACATATATTTTATACTATACATTAAAAAGCAGAATATTTATCTATTATAATATAAATCAAAAATTATATACATTTAAAATGTTATTATTTTCATATTTAACTGTGTGTCAATGTCACCGATATTTTAAACTTTTATTTTAGCATTTCAAACAGTTTTTAAAAACTTAGCCAAATCAATTAATTGAAAATTATACTAAAAATTGTACAATGTTATTAGTCAATAATAGTTGTATTGCATATATTTAACACTAAATTGAGATCAAAATTAAACACGTCACATTTTCAAAATAGTTCAAATTTCTATAATGTGTAACTAATATTATGAATGTTTCTACTTCAGTATCGTTATTAATTAATAATATATGAACATTTCAAGCCTTCAGCATTCATGATTGATCAATTATTTTTAATTAAAAAACAATAATCAGTTGGGCGTAAATCTTGAATCTGACTTATTAATAAGCATAAGTATTATTTGGAATTTTTTTTTTTTACTACAATAGATTAGTATAAAGAACCTATATACAACCAGGACAAATTTCATTAGAAAAATGTTCTACTTAATTTATATAAACAAACAAAAAAACAAAACTTTCAGACCATTATTTTAGAAAAATATGTTCATTTGAAAATAATACAAAAATATTAATTTAATTTAATTTACTGTAGGTACAATTAAAAGGTCCATTTTTTTTTTTTAAATACAACCTTGAAAATATAAGGTTAATAATATATTAATTGATATTTGTTGTATCATAATAATATACAATATCTACTGTGGGACCAGCCGGTTTTATATGAAAAAAAATATTATCAATAAAATCCTTTAAAGTGAAGGTAGAGGAGTAAAGCTTTTTCTTGTATGAGCAATTTAATAAATTCAAATTTACCGCAGCTTATCTTCAAAAGTATTCAATATTTTTGTGTATTTATTTTATACTAATTTATTGTGCTATCGAATAACATGCAATTATAGTGAATAATATGCAATAAAACCAGAAATTTATAAATTTAATTTAATTTAAATAAATATAATAATAAATACAGTATACTTGTCTCGCCTGTCACCTTATAATACACAATAAGTAATTCAATATGTAATTTTTTCAACTAGTAAAATAAACTTCAATTTTTAGGAATGGTATTAAATGCTGAAGAGAGGCACCAAGATGAAAATGAAGAAAGTATGTTTAAATTAAGAAGCTATACTTGTTACATTTTTTGTACACATTTCTTGATTGAAATTTTTTTTTCTAGTCTTTGAAATTTGCATTATTTGTTGTGAGGAAATTAGTAATGTGGTTACAATTCCATGCCGTCATAGATTTTGTAGAAGGTGTATTGAGAGATGGATGCAAGGGAACAATGTAAGATGCCCGTTATGTAGATCCTATATCAATATGATACAAAAGTAATTATTTAATTAATGTTTTGGTATAATTATGTTATTAATTATTTTGTGTTTTTATAGTAGATAAGTCCTGGAGAAAAATGCTCAAATCCACTACCGCAATATCTAACATTGTAATATAACCACTACGACAGAGAATAAATTCAATTTACAATATTGTATAATTAACAGTACTATACCTATGGCTTTTTTTCTATTACCATAACATCTTTTACTATTATAATAACTCATTAAATCAGGGGCAGACTGGCTCCTTCAGTGGCCCGGGATTTGTTTTTTAAAGCTGACCAAAAACAAATGTCTAAGGTCTAACCTATTACAGCACTTGTATTTAAAATGCCATGCATAGTTTACTATTCAAAATATAAATAATAACAGCAGATACATAACACTTCATTAATTTTTAATTAAATATTATATTATTTATTTCAAAATTCATAAAATATACCTAACACTTTTAAGTTTTAAAAACAAAATATATAAATAGGTACATACAAATTTAAAAAGCAAAACATTAAAATATAATTATTAATTAATATTTTTTGTATCAAATAATATAAGTTTTTGTATTTTTTTTTTTACTGAAGAACCTCAAAAATAAAACTTTTATTAATACCTAATCTAAAAATGTTACTTTTGGGTGCAAAGCCTGGTTTCATCATTTTCATTCATACTATAGCAAAATATAAAATATGTGGTTTTACAGAAACGTGTCAATATTAATTAAGAAAAATTAGATTTCAAAACATTATTCAGGAAAATGTATTCGTGGAGACAACAAGGTGGGATACAAATACAAATAGCTAATAGGGGATAGGTCTCTTAAACTAATCTTTTCTGTTATATTATAAACCATTTAACCAATTTTAATGATAATTGTATACAGATTATAATTTTTAGGACTTAACTTTACTATTATAATTTATAAAAGGTACCTATTACATCAAATTTAATTTTACTTACTTTAGGAGCCAGGAGGTAAGATTAGGATATTAAACATTCAAAGTTCTTCTTTCCAGGCCAATCACTAGTCAAAGCAAAATGCAAAATACAAATTAACTAATTTACAAATTACTACTATTTACTAATATTATTACAATATGTCAATATCACAGACGAGTAGACGACAGTACGGCACACTCGTGAGTCGTGACTCGTGACTACTCGTGAGTCGTGGAAGAAAACAGTTTATTTTTAAATAATATTATACCTATCGAATTATAATATCGTTTATAAACATAGATATTATGTATAATAAATATCTGTAAATATAAACAACAAGTGATCAAAGTACAAACCCACTTAACCAGTTAACCACACGGCTGTGTCATTGGCTATAATTTATATTTATTTAAATACCTACCACGGACTAAGATAATATTATCTTAGTCCGTGATAGAATGATACCTATATTATAATGTTTCTTATGTCCTTATGCATAGGTTAATAGTCAATACAGAATACTTAATAGGTATCAATTTGTGTGTCACATTATAATATTATATATGCATACGGACATTAGAACAATAAAATATAATTTTAGGTATGATTATTATCTTATTATTTATGTTATATTTTATAAATTTTAAAATTTAAATAGAAAAACTGAAAAACTATTACATATTATAATATAAAAATCGTAAGAAGTTACCTACTTATAGTTAAAGGCTCTGTCAAAACAGAAAGCGTTAACTTCACGTCGCGTGATTTTATAATTTGTTACGTGCGTGAAAGCACCACGCCGACGAGCCATTTACCGCTTTCACGTTATAACGCGTTCTGTTTGACAGAGCCTTTATACTTAACCTAACCAAACTGCCCGGCGGCCGGCCCCATAATTACCCGAGCTGGGTACATATCGCGGGTTTTACATTCATTTATTATAATATTAAACATTTCCTCGTATGTAACTTGAGTTTTGCGCTCAAGAATACAATCAACAGCTGTAACAAACACTGCATTTTTTTGTACACGTATGGCATAATTGTTTAAAAAATTCAGGAGCAAGACCAAAGTTTTCATCGCTAAACCATGTAGGTACCTATCCCGTATCCGACTCGGCTAGTAAGGATAATCCTTTATCAGTGGCATACATAATAATCCTTTCACTGTAGGTATTTGGGCCGTTATCGTAAAGTAAAAATCTTTCTTGACCATATTCTTTATATTCACCTATTAAATTTTAAATTAAATAAGTACCCAAATGTTTAAAAATCAATTTTTATTTTAATAATGTATTAGAGCGTAACATTGTTAGAGAGAGAATTGTACCCAAAAAAATTGTTCGTTACATTTTTAATAGGTTTGTTACTAGTGATAAAAATATTAGACATCTCATCTCTAAGCATTGTACGTTGACTTTTACAATATTTTTATTTTTAAGCGCGAGATGTGAGTATGTAAGATATTAAAATTCAAAAATACTCATATAATATCTTGCTTAAAAATTAAGCGAGATAATACGAAGGCTTAAAAATGGTTTTAAAAATTGTAATTTACCTTCAACAATTATTTCTGATAGACATCTCGGTTTTGGACATTGGTGGATTTTTATACACTCTATGATTTCGAATAGTTCTTTTTAAATATTCTTCCCTTGGAAATTCGGCTAATACAACACTCTCCGGAACATTTAGGTACCTACCTAATGGTATCCGGACAATTTCCCCCCGGACATTTTCCCCCCGACTGTTTTTGGCGTAGTAGGACATTTTCCCCCGAAAAATGTTCCGATGCGGACATTTCCCCCCCTTTTTTTTTAATTTTTTTTTTTCATAAATATAATCAATTATACCTACTACAATTAACTTTATAAATGTATACTATAAATTTCATTTTTTTTTTTCATAAATATAATAAGACATACGAAAAAATGGAAATAAGTAAAATAGGTTAAAAATTTCATATTTTTTTTTTTCATAAATATAATAAAAACGTAAAGTAATTGTGTATAGGTAAGTAAAATAGGTTAAAAATTTCATTTTTTTTTTTCATAAATATAATAAGACATAAAAATAGTAGGTACTATTATTTTTTATTTAGACAATCTTTTAAATATAATATTACTATTGTTTTATTGTTTCAAGTAGTTGAATTGATCAAAAATATACATCTACTATAATAGGTAATGGTGCAGAGATCTCCTTAACTAATAACCAAAAAAAAAAAAAAAAATATAAATAAATAAAAATATAAAAGTCAATAGGAAGTGTCACTACTGGGTGGCTTCTTCCAACAAATCATTCACGCCTTTTTGTAAATCAGCCCATATACTTATTGTGTCTCTGGGTACAGATGGTATATTTCTTTTAAAAAATAAAAAAAAAAAAAAAAACTATAATAGGTAATTATAGTATAATTGATTATATTTATAAAAAAAATTATATTTTACTGAAAAAAAATAATTTCTTATTAAATAATAAATAATAAACTTAAAAAAAAATGGGGGGAAAATGTCCGCATCGAATTTATATTGGGGGGAAAATGTCCTACTACGCCAAAAACAGTCGGGGGGAAAATGTCCGGGGGGAAATTGTCCGCCATTCCTACCTAATATTACACTTGAAAAAATTTGACTAGGTGCATCGTTGGTTATTTTGGCTTTTGCCTTCATAATTTTTTTGAATTTTTATTGCAGAAAGCATATTTTCATTTGCCTTGTGTATGTGATCATGTTCAATGAAAAGTAAAGTTGGACTATCTAAATATACTATCAAAATCCGTTTTTAAAATACAGGGACACTTCATTGAAATTTGAACTTGATTTAGTACATCTCCAATGAATAAAAGTTTTGCATTCTTTTTGAATGTTGTACATATTATATCCACCGTATGGAGTTTGAGGTTTTTTATTATTATTTTGAATCACTAAAATTTTATATTCGCACTTTTAATTCAAAATAATGAAAAAGTTACACGATAATAACCAGATGATCGAAAAATTCGTACTGAAGAGAATATCATACCTCACTGTAGGTATAGACTAAAGGTAGGTTAGTACACACTTTTAATTTAAAATAATCACAACAATAACTATATGAACGAAAAAATCACATTTGTATTAACAAAATGTTGTAGATATTAAGAAATCAATTATCAAGACCAGTTTCCAGATAGGTAGAGTCTACATTATACTCTTCAAAAAAATATAATACCTACCTTCATAATGTTTAAGATTAAGTCAAATGTCAATTACTTTTATTACTACCTTTATACTTTAATCTCTTATATTATAAATGTATCTTTATGTATAGTTTAATAAATATTTGGTGTAGGTATTATTTTATTAAATATTCTAGGATATAAAAGTATACAAAAATTATTAAACGAATATTATATGTTATTATATTGCTATAACTTATAGGTACTTACCTCTATGTCCAAAAAAGTGTTACATAATTATGTTGAAATTTCGATATATTGTTTAAAAATTTCAAATTATAAAATTTAGTATATATACAATATTATAAAAAAATGTGTTATGTATTTAGTTGGTAAATAATGCAGGATTACAACTGTACATACCTACATGGCTATATAACTATATAAGTATATTATAACATAAATTATAACATAGATATCTATATCTACCAGTAAAAGGTAATTTCAAACGTTAAGAACGTCGTTTATGGTCATAAGCATAAAAGATATTTAAAGATGTTCATTGGTCATTGCATTTTAGATTCTGAGCGGAGCGATGAAAGTATTGGTTTTACAATGATGTGTGTTTTTATATTTTTTTATTTTTTATTTTTTTTGTGTCTGTCATCACGTTTTAGGACAGTAAAAGTGCTTGGATTTTCTTCAACAGTAGCTTTTCTGATAGGAAAGTGAATCTAGTTGGTACTTTGAGGGGGTCAAAAGTAAAAATTTCCCAGTAGTTTTCACAAGCGCCGCGAAAAACAACATGAAAATTAAGGAAAAACGGGAATTTTTACGCAAAATCGGTTTTCCAAAAAATCGATTTTGGTTTTTGGTGTAACTCTAAAAGAAATGAACGTATATACATGAAATTTTCACTGGTTGTTTATATTTGCATTTTATATACACGATAACGTTTTCAAAATATTTTGATTTATTTTGAACTGTTTAGGGACATTTTCATTTTCCATCTTTTTTTAGTTTTTTTCCTAAAAATATCAATACAATTTTATTTGTTGGTTGCGAAAGCTTGAAAATTTAATAGAAGGCTCCTAATATATTGTTTCAAAGGCAGATGAAAAATATTAAAAATCCTTAGTCACAATTTTTTTTATAAGCATTTAAAGTTCAAAATTGTAAAAATATGGAAAATTAGCGAATTATTTTGAGTTAAGAATTCGTAAAAATTTTTTTTTTTAAATCTAAGATTTGAAAATGTAATACAAGATTACTCATAAGTTTGTCTACCTTTATCAATAAAAAAATCTCTACCGGAAAGTCAAATTAAATTTTTATGAGCGTTTGAAATTCAAATTTTTACAACATTGAATGTTCACTCGATTTCTCATGTAGCGATTACTTACTTTGTTGTAATTCAAAAACGAATAACTGTAGATACATGAAAATTTCACTGAATGTTTATATTAGCATTTCCTATACACCATACAATTTTGAAAAAATTTTGACCCTTTTTGAGCTGTTTATGGACATTTACAGCTTTCAGTTTTTTTTAGTTTTTTTTTTCTATAAATTTCAATAAAGTTTTATGTGTTGGGCCAAAAAGTGTAAAAATTTAGTACAAGGCTCCTGATATATTGTTACAATATCAGTTGAAAAATATTAAAAATACATAGGCACAGTTTTTTTTTATAAGCATTTAAAGATCAAATTTTGACAAAATTTATCAAAATCTCGAAAATGATCAATCATTGTAATTAATAAATTATAAAATCTTCATTTTTTATAGCTAAGGATTGCAAATTCAACACAAAGGTTCTCGTAAATAGTTCATACTATAACCAAAAAATCTAAAAAATATATGAACACAGTTATTTTTTACAGACATTTTAAATTCAAATTTGGACGAAATTACATATTAAAAAACCTAGAATAACTATTTTAGTTATTTTGTTGTGATTGAATAATATTATTCGTGGGTACTTGAAACTTCTAAAGTGTACTATTAATTATTATATATCTATGATAGTATCACGGTTTTTGTTGATGTATAACGCTTATAAGTACCTAATGGATATTGTGATATGATTAATTTGGAATTTATTATAGGTACCTATTATAGGTCAATTTTTTGTTTCATACCATAGATATGTATATAATATGTCTTATACATAGACTGACATACCGTCTCCGCTCAGAATCGTTTTTCTTATACAATGATATTATATCGTTGAATTCAAATTTAATATCATCCATTATACAGTGACCCACTTGTAAAATACTGTACAGCAGAGCGACACCCACTTGCCCACCTTTTTTAGACTGTTTTTCAAATATTTTAATGTTGAAAATGACCTTTCACATGCAATTTGCGCAACAGGGATGGTATTACAATGTATATAAAAAGTAATTAAAATAATTTAGAAAATAATTATAGCGCATTCGAGTGTAGCGTCCTCTTAACGCCCTTAACCAGTTACCAGCATAACCACATCACATTTGCATGCAAAGGTTTTTTTCGATTTACTACAGATATTGTTTATGCAAATAATAATGTCCAATGTCCCAATCACACAATGTTATGTATTATTAGTTATTGTTCAATTAGCCAATTAGGTAGTACAGCTCTACAGATATATAACTTTCAGCAAGCACGGCGTCAAAGAGTCATATCTGTAGGTAATATATTATTTCTTTGAAAAAGTACTTCTGCTGAGTTTTAGTCGAAACCCACACGCTACCCGGGTGTTGTATTATAATAATAAATAGCCGACGTCGATATATTGTTTTTATTTTATTTTATGTCTACAATATTGTGCATGTGATATTTTGAAATTGTATATCCGATGATTTATCTCATACTCATACGATACTATTAAAATGTAACACAATTAATAATAATTATAATGATAATACCTACAAGAATTTCATAGATTTAAAGTCTTAATACAAACAAATAATCGTTGACTTATTTACCAAGTTTGTAAATAAAATCTCATATAAAACGACCGGGCAACCAGGCCATAATATTATGGTCCAGGTCATCGGGAAAATTCACATTTCCAGACCGATCCTGCGGAGTTGTACCCGCCACCTGTTGTAAAATAATATCTAAGCACCTCGGCCATGACACATGGCGACGAACTAAATGCATGTCTTATTAACATGACATTTGTCGTCGAACACTAATTTAGAAATCAGTAATGAGAACGCAACCAGCAGTAGCAACGGTAGAATAGTACTATACATAAATATAGATGAAACGATTGAGTGCGTTGTCTACGAATTCGTCGAGGAAAATATTATTATGATAAAACGCACTCAATCGTTTGGAAAATATTATTGTGATGACGAAATATTATGTTGAACATCCAACCACAATCGAACACTGCGTCAATCCATCCGAGGAACCAATACACGATTTACCGGATACGCTAGTGGCTAGTCGAATGTATTGTTAAAGCCTCTTTCCAACTTCCGGTGGCGCCGCTCTGTCATTGTTGAGCGCGGTGCACGCAGAGAACAAGACGAACTGAGAACTACGTATCCGACGCACAGATCGTCGAGGACAGCAACGGCATCACTGTGCGTGTAAACGAAAAAAAAATATTCGGTTCCGGCTAATGGTCGAGACGTATCACGATCGATCGAGCCAGATCCGGTCAACAACTATATAATATTATAGTCGATATTATTTTGTAGCTGCCGATCCCATAATACGACTGTCGAATAAATGTTCGGCTTCCGTAATTATTAATGTAATATTATTAAATATATAATTAACAATATTATATTATATTATAAGCTTAAATTATCTTGACACCTAATAACTATAATAATATTACACTGCACCCGTGTTTATATCTTTGTGTGTGCTTATATACTAGTATAGACGTATATCTATACCCATAGGTATATAGTACAGTGGTCGCCGCTCTCACATCCGTCCAAGAGCATTTTGATCACTATAACCGGAAATCACTATAAGCGGCGACTCAAAAAAATATCGAAAAACTAACAAACAATTTTTTAAATACATCTTTTATTTTTTACAAAACATTAAAAATACTGTGCAAAATATCAAAATACAGTAGTATTAATTAAATTTAAATTTAAAAATTAATAAGTAAAATATACATACATACATACATACGAAATTTAAAACTTATGTTCTTTTAAAAAAGCCACTGTTTTTTTTTGGTATAGAAACCATCATAATGTGCTCTAAGTTGTTCAACGTATCAAAGTAATTTGTGCCTATGTCATGCTCTTCAATAGCTCTTCTCAGTGTATTAATTGCATTGAATACTTCACTCCTGGTTACTGGTACTCGGTCCTCTGCATATTTAACTTCGTCTTCATCATGCACTTCAACATCATTTCCCTGTTCCTTGTGTGAAACTATTTCAGCAACTATTTCGTCATCATTCATCACTTGAAAAACTGGTAAGTCCTTATCTACATCCAGCCACTCATTGAAGGTTTATTTTTTTTTTTTTATTGCAGTCACTTATTTCGTTACAGGATTTGAGTAACTTATTTAATGTTGACTGTGGAATGCCCAATTGTTGTGCTGCTAATCTCTGATTCGTCTTCTCGGGAAGCTTATCATAATCGGCTAGGACACTTTTTTTTCACTTATTGAAAGCGCACTTCTCCTAGCCATAATACACTATACAAACAATACACTACACTCTAAACATACAGAACAACGCCACAGACGAAAACAAACTGCGTATAAGTCTATACGTACGAGTATACTGTCATCCGTATACATATCGGTATTAACGGGAACACAAACGGTTTCAAACATATACGATATTACGATATGAAGTACACTCGTTACGTGGGTCACATTGGATAAGATTAGGACAGTCGTTCGCAATCGTTTTTCCTCCTTTGTGTACATAAAAATAGGTAATTTTATTATAAATTTTATTTCTGACATGATTATTTCTGATCACTATAACCGAAAACCTGATCACAGTACGCGGCGAAAAATGCACTGAAGACGGCCCTGTTTGTTCCGTTCCTGACATTTTTGATCACTAAAAGCGGCTGATTCTTATAACCAGTGAACACTATAAGCGGCGATCACTGTACCTATTACCTTATATTGTGACATAAATAACTATATGGCATGATGTGCTGTTATTTGACACAAATAAATAAATGTAATATATTTGTGGTCTATGTTTTTGACGTATATTTACTAATTTTGTAAAATGTATAAAATGACCATGGCCATACTATGGTAACGATATCCGCCCAGTGGCGTGGCGAACGATTTTCACACAAGGAGCAAAGATTTTATTCTACCCACCCACCCGATATTTTATAAGACATTTAAAAAAAAATACAGTACATTTCTTAAAACGCATGAAGTTAATAACACATATTTATTAGTAACTTTTAGATTATTTTCTTATTTAAGTCTTTTTTTAAGATTCTGAGGGGGGCAAAATAATGTTGGTATCCAAATTTTCTACTTCAGCATTTTTTTGTTGATAAGAAAGTGAATCTAATTAGTATTTTTTTTTTTTTTTTTGGGAAAGGGGGGGTGGATAAAAATAAAAAATTCCGAGTAATTTTCAAAAACGTGGTATAAGCTAAAAAACTTAAGTAGGAAAGGTGGGTAAGTGGATGTCGCTCTGCTGTACAGTAGGTTACCATGCAGCCATACAGGGTTAGAAATTGTTCCAAACAAGTGGTTTCGTTTAAAATCTTTTATTTAGATAAAAAAAAAATATATATTACTCTTTTAGTTGAATTTAATTCCGGCATATGTACACTCGCATACTCAATCAGCAGCATATTAATAAATACATCAATGTTGATTTTAAAAATTAGTTCATAAATCAATTTTAAAGTGATTTTCCTCAAGATGAAATCGACAATATTTTATTTTGGATTTTGGATTTTAACCCAGTCTCTGTATCGTCAAATACAAAAAAGTAGTTCATTATTACAATATTACCAATGTATAAAAATAACAGTTCTATCTGCGATACGTAAATTGTTTAAATATTGTTTGCATATTTAATCCTGATTCATGTCAACAGTTAAGGCAACTCCAATTGTATACTTCACAATTCATAATATTATGAAAACAAATATTGAAGGTACAGTGAATTGTACTGGTAAAAGTTCTGAAAAAAAGTTTTTCCACTTCGGTTTTGCAATAATAGTTAATTCAACAGTAACATCTATTTATTTTTTCACCGCGTCTCGTCTAGTCCTCAATCGAAACACTAATTGGACGGGACTACCAATACGTAGGTATATTATACAACAATAATATTATGTATCCCGTTAAATTCGTCAATTCTGTTGGTGTTTACGTATAGAAACGTCTGATGAATAACATTTTTAATAAAAAAAAAAAAAGTTTTTGTAATCACGACTTCGATGACGCACTCAGGTGAGCCAATGACGATTGCAACGATATTATCACGTCAAATATATAAAATGAAAATCCTTAATGATTTAAAAATAAACCTCGCTAGGAGAATTTCACCACCGAGTAGGCCCGGATCGATCTGGAGCACACCGGATGTGTGTTGTAGATAATAATATTATACCTTGAATAATGTTTCCGAGTGACGGAAGTACGGAAGTACAATGGAAGAACGCGGTTTTCGAGAAACAATCCCTCTGCGGGTATAGGCACATAATAGTATTATAATATCCTTTTATTGAACATTACGTATAAAAGAAAAAACAAACTTATAACAATCGATAAAACTTATATATAAAAATCGTTAACAATTTTCGTATGAGATTCGCTTGTCACTATTCAAAATATTATGTTCTGTATTATATTATTATCTCAATGACCAAATCAATTATAATAAACTGCGACCACGTAACTTAATACGTTTAGTACATTTTTGAAACATAGGTTTTAATTTATTGTAACTGTTCATTATTGTGGAATATGTTGATCATCATGCTTCTAACACAACGAACTTCAGAGCACAGAAATAATGTAGGTTGGTAATTAAAAAAAAAGTTATCTTGTTATCTTGTGTATCTTGTATCTTGTTATATTGTTAATATAACATTGATCAGAGTCGATTACATGTTATAAGTAGTGTTTGAAGTATGAGAAATATTTCATGAAATATTTCAAATGTAATATTTCATTTTGAAATATATCACTAAGTTGTGAAATATTTCACAAAAACATGAAACATTGAAATTTTTTTAACGCAAATAAAAACACAATTTATTTATTTTTTTAACACAATATTCAGTGTTCTAAATTCTAATGTCAGAATTCAGTAATTATACAATATACATGTATAATATTGTATACCTACTTGTATCATTTAAACATTAAAATATTTAAACATTTTGAATACCAATTTAAATGTATAATACCAAAAGTTAGGTATACATACAGGTACCATATAGTGATGAAGGTAATTTATGACAGTTATATGTAAATATAAAAATTATTTAAAAATAAAACAAAATATATTAAAATACCTACTGAAATATTTCACATATTTTGAAATATTTCATGAAATATTTCACGAAATATTTCATTTTTTTAAATTTCATGAAATTTTCAAACACTAGTTATAAGGTGGTCATAATTCGTTATTTAGTACTGTGATAATAATTTATAATACTTCTGGCCTCAGATAAAATTACGAAACTTCGCTTAACGTATTATCAATAGTTAGCAATCTAGTTTATGATATATACCTGGGCCTACCAATAAATACGACAAGATAATAATAATAATTATAATAATCGGATCCGCCGCGTGATAACCGCATACCAGAAATCGAGTAAGATAGACCGACATGACTTTTGATATTATATTAAGTACCTAATGTGCTGATGTCATTGTGCAGCAGCTGAATATAATAATAACCTATTCATATATGCACGGTTGACTGAAATGCGACTCCCTCGTTCACTGGTATAATAATACATACGTGAAATAAGGAAATGAACGAAAACGAGAAAAATCACAAGAAAACAATGTAATAAATAACGTCCGTTCGCAGGGCGACCTTTGAATAGGCGATTTAATAATGAATAAGCTTTCGGATTCGGCGGACTTCGTTCTAAGTCCAAGTTTTAAACGTAAGTTGAATTGATACTGACGCGACGTGACTGCGCACGGATAGCTTTTCAATATAGAATGACAGTTTGTTTTAATCTCGAAATAATTAGTTGTCGTTTCGATGTGTATTGTAGTAGGTATAAAATAGTACTTATATTGTATTTGTATGTACCGCAATGACGAGAGATGCATTTCGAGACTAGGTACTTGATATAATAATAGTACATACCTATGATATTGTAGGTACCTACTTATAATATTTACAGTGATTATTATTCATCGCAGTCTGTGCATTTCTCATATAAATCAAAAACTGGATAGATTATAGTGTTTCATTTAGTGGTTAAAAATTACAAAATTCATAGATAGTTCAAAATAACAATAGGTATTCGGTGGACTTTTGAAGACGATTTAATAATGAATAAGTGTTCGGATTCGGCGGACTTCTTTCTAAGTAGAAGTTTTTACCGTAAGTTGAATTGATACTGAAGCGACGTGACTTATCTCGTTTCAATATAAAATGACGATTTATTTTAATAATTATTGAAATAATTAATTGTCGTTTCGATGTGTACTGTAGTAGGTACCTATATAATATATATTATATTATATTGTACATTGTATTTGTATGTACATACAGCAGTGATGAGAGATACTTTTCTAAACTAATAGTATATTTTCATGGGCCCCCCACACGAACATGTTCAGTTGGGCCGATTATCTTCTTGAAGAATGAATAAAAATAAAAAAATAATAATCATTTTTTTTTTTTTATTAGGGTTGATTCTTCGACAACAAAGGTCATTAGCCTGTGGTACTGTAGTGGGTTTTGTCGGAATTTTCGATTTGGGCACCCTTAGGTATCTGCCGTGCACGGGTGGGGGATGGTAGCATTTGTTCTCCGGACACCGTGACTTGCCCGAAGAAAAATGCCGCCCGTGACCACAGGATCGAACCGGCGCCGGCAGCGTCGCAACCGACGCCTTAGACCGCTTTGCCACCTGCGTCCCCCAAAATTATAATAATATAATAGTAAATAATTATGGGTACCTATTCATAATATTATTTAGAGTAATTATTATTGGTTACATTTCTCCTATTATGAATAAAAAAATGAATAATTTAGTTTAAAATAGCTATAAATCACAAAATACATAGATGACTTATAAGATTAATAATAGGTTAGGTATACCCAATATACATATATATGTGAAATTATGACACTATGATTGGATAAAATACTTTAAAATTTTCGTTTTTAAATTACCTCTATTATCATTAAAACAACTACAGTATACAACCATAGCAATATTGTAGGTATACAATATTATTGCATGCATATTGTATAGTTT